TGGCATTCCCAACAGGATTTTCTCCCTATCCAGGGTTCGAACCCGAGACCTCTGGTTAAGGATGAACAGTCCCACCACTGCACCACAATCAATGTTGGTCGTATGATACTCTTAACTCTTAGGGTCGTTTGGTTGGGACCAAGTTATCCCATGATTAATTATCTTGGGATTAGTTATCCTAAGATACTTATCCTACCACGTATATGAGATAACTTATCACATCATTATATTATGATATAAATAGTGCGATAACTTATCCCAAATTTGACAACCAAACAAAACATCAAAATTTTATCTTAGGACTATTTATTTTTTATCCCTCGTACCTGTAACGGCCCAATCTGCTAGTGATATTGTCTGCCCTGGACCAAGGCCCACACGACTTTAAAACGTGTCACTAGTTGATAAGACCTACTTACATATACACCCAACATTTCTCATGTGTTTTGCCGATGTGTGACTTCTTATCTTAAACTGGGGCATCACATATACCTCCTCATGGACTCAACATCCTCGCTGAGACCTGCCCCACCGAATGAGATTTTCCTAGACTCAGCACTGAGTTTTTACCTTGCCTTACTAGAATTTGCCTAAACTCAGTTGAACTCTGCCCTACATCGACATGGCTGACACAAAGTGGCTCTGATATCATTTATAACATTTCAACTCGCTAGTGATATTGTCCGCTCTGAGCCTAGGCCCGCACAATTTTTAAACGTGTCACTAGTTTATAAGGCATGCTTACTTATATACCCAATATCTCTCACCGATATGAAACTTTTTATCTTAAGCTAAAGTGTCACAATACCAAACGAACCCTTAAGGATGTATTTAAATTTCAAAGTCCCAAAGTAGAAAAAATCTTATTTCTAAAGAATAGTCCCAAGTCTTAAGTCTTTTCTTTGTGTGAATAGTCCTAACTCCTAAGTCTTTTACTTTAGGGTTAACTATTGTAAATTTGTAACAAATGATTTATTTACTTTGAGAAGTTTGACGGTGATTGTAATTATCGATGAAAAACTTACAAGCAATACTTTCATGTGAAATTTCTTCCTAGAGTAGTGATGATACCATTTTTTTGGTTTCTCATTTAATGTCTCATATTCACATTGAAGCCCAACTAAATTCGAATTCGCATAAAAAAAAATTCACATTGAATGATTAGATGACTTCGTATTCAAAGGAACTCCGTACCCGTAGTGATACTCTTAACTCTTAAGGGTGTGTTTAAACTTTAAAGTCTTAGAATAGAAAAAATCTTAATTCTAAACAATAGTCCTAAGCCTATTCTTTGTATGAATAGACGTAACTACCAAATCTTTCATAAAATAGGGTTGACTATTGTAACCATTGTTTTAAAAGGTGGAGTGCGTAATAAGATATTTTACATAATATAGGGTGAGGCGTAAATTTTGTAAGATCCATAAATTTACGGGACATATATTTCATGTATCTTCAATTTTATCATTTTTTCACTAAGAAAGTAAGCAAAAATAATTTTTGAATAATTATGCAAATAAATTCAAATAAATCACCAATAATATAGAAAGAAATATTATAATTTTTATTTGAGAGAAGTAACAAAACAAAAAATTGTCGTAGTCGTGATAATCTTTAAAAATGAAATCTTCATCCATTTCATCATTGATCTCCGCATCTACTAGTCTTTCCCACTCTCAACTATATTTGTACTTATTACTGTATATATTTCAAAGAAGGGGAAGAATAAAAATTATAAAAACACTAACACAAAAATTGATAAAATTACTTCGAAAACATATAGTTCTGTGAAATTCCTATCTTATCAATTTCGGACATAATCATCTAAAAACTACTATGACAGTATTATTTTCTATGAGACTCGCTTTATTTATTTATATATTTTAAGAAAAATCACTACAACATGAAAACACAATAGCATAAAGTATAAATATCATCACCAATAATAATAAACAATAGGAAAATACTTTTCGAACAACCAAAAAACAAATTTATATGCTTTTGTATCCGGAGCTTATGCTTTTACGCTTGAGACTTACACCTCAAATTCTAAGACGTACATCCTATAAATCTATGCTTTTCATTTGCACCCCAAAATATTATTATTTGCTATTATTTGTAAAAAAAAAATAAAAAAAAAAATCAATTTAAGTCGATAACAAAAATAACTACATAATACCAACACACAAAAACTTAAACTATTTATAATCATATGAAAATCATAATGCCAATGTAAACGGTCAACGGCCGTAACATATTATTGTATTTTTGGCTACAACTACTTAGCCTACACCATTAAATAATCATGGTCTACCATGATACAATTTAAATTTCCTTAACGTTTATATGTTCACATACATAAATAGATATAGAGCTGGAGTATAATATATGAATTTACGATAATTTAATAATTTTTGCATAGACTATATATACAATGATAGTTTAATAAAATGACGTGAGTTATTATTAGATAATAACCTAAATCGTTATAAAAATCTATTAAATTCAAATAAACTCAGTGATTTTTATACAAATTTAATCAAATATTTATATATTTTTATTATATCTCTAATTATAATTATTAATTTAAAATTATTATAAAAAATCATAAACTTTAAATTTTAAATTCATCTCTAATTGTGATCGCCGACATTATTGGAAAGAGAACTCCCAAAACGATCTTGATATTTTTCTATGCAATATTCTCTAATTGAAAACGTGGAACTCCCACTACACATATATAACTTTTTTTTCTTACTAACTTTAATGTGAACTTTGTTGGCACTCTCAAAAATCTCCTCCTCGACCTAAGATCCACATGACGATCACAAATTAAATTCCACGTGATCAATCACCTTCTAATTTATTTTGGAAATTAATTATGTGTTACCCAATTTGAATATTTATGGCACAAAGCTACCCCTTCAATGTCTTCATACTTGTCCCCACCAAATTATTGGCTCTAATATATTTATAAATAGAGAAAAAAGATAATATATTTTCGAACTATCGTAAATGATATGTAGATATCCTTCATCATATTTTTGGGACATTGGTGTCCTTGCCGTTCAAAAACTAGAACATATATACATTTTATACTAACGGACATACACGGGTCATAATCTTATCCATCGATCCGACATTTATTAAATATTGGATCGAAGGATAAGATTGTGCCACGTGTCCTTATTTTGTCTTCCGTTAGAGTGAATGACATATATGGTCTAGTTTTTGGATGGCAGCCGGCAGGGGCATCAATGTCCCAAAAGTATGACGAAGGGTATCTGCATACCATTTACAATAGTTTGGGGATATATTTGTCTTTTTTCCCTTAAAAATATTATTAAATTGATATGATGCTATCCTTTTCCGATCAAAATCGTATAATTTTTCTAAAATATCTCATGTCGTTAAAATTATTACTTCATTCATTTTAATTTATAGGAAGATTTAATCAGATATGAAATTTAAGTAGGAAAGAAACTAGTTGATCGAATAATATATCCGTAAATTTTCCGTTCATATTTTTCATATAGTAATTAATTATCTTTAGGACGGCTTTAGAACGGATATAGGTATTTAATTCAGGAAACATACCAATTTTGGCCTAATTTCTTTGACTACTAATTTTAATTTTTAATATTATTTCATCAAAAAATCATTAAGGAAATAATCCAAATATAAACAACAACAAGAAAATATTGTGAATTACTTTCGCTCGTATATAATATCTTTTTGTCAAAATATTGAATTCGAGTGAACTCATAGTTACTAATTAATTATAGGGAAAAATGTATGAAATAACAAATTATTAATTCAAATTAAATGTTATAGTCATAGTTTATTTTATTTGTAATTCGCAGCAAACATCCCATTTTTTTGCCATCTGATTCGGTATACAATTAGCCATTTTCGGTATACAATTAGTCATTTTATACATTCCGGTATAAAATGTGTTTGTGTTTGTATAAAGCGAGAGAAAAATGTATATATAAATACAAATACATATATTTTCGTCCTATACACTTATAATTATACAAATACAGATCTTATTATACAAATTACAATGTATAAATGAATTTATACAAAACTTAATAATTTGTATAAAATTGGATGTATCTAGCGAATTATACAAATCAAAAGCTCCATAGCAAACATAAAATTTGTTATGGAGCGCAATTATGTAAACTATAGCTATAACATACAAATATATTTTTTATGTTTGCTATATGTAAAAGTTGCTCTTAATTATATCCTTCATTGGTTAAACAAATAATCATATGATACATGTTTTATCTTTCTTAAGAACTGTGCAAAATCTTAGATAACACATATATTGCTCATTTTGGCCTGACAAATGTTTATATGAATTGAGCACCGACGACTATGTGAAAAGCCTTTTCCACTATAGCAAAAAAGATATTAGTGGTAATATATATATATATATATATATATATATATATATATATATTTAGTGGCAGTTGAGTTAATGTTATTGTATTTAGAGTCACTAAAGCTTTTAGCGACATTTATATAGATTACTGGTTATAAATACTTATATAATAGTATTACCGCTAAATATAATTTAGCAACAGTATTACTATTACTGTTAAATCATCACCACAAAGTTCTTTATTTATTATAATGTTGACTTTTATCCTTCAAAAGTTTATCAGCCAAAAATCTATCGATCAATTCTCTTCTTTATACTCCTCCTCGTTAACTTGCCCTCTGTCATGTGCGTTAGAATCGACTTAGAAGACCATTGTAGAGCTGGATTGAAAAAAGAAAAAGAAATAAGAAATAGTCATTTTGTACTTTTTTTTATTTTTATTAAAACAAGAAATAGTCTACTGTCAATATAGTCAGAATTCCCTACTTCCAGCTACCACTAATTGTGAATAAATCCATCCTATAAATGCATCATTCAACCATTCATATATACAAAATACAACTTTCTTTTGGAATTTTCCATTGAAAATTTATCTAAGAAAAATAAAAAAAATATGGGAAAAAATGAACAAAGGGAGGAAATTCTAATAATTTCAAGTCCTTCAAATCCACAGAAAATGGATGATCATCATGTTGTGGCTTTAGAAGTTGAAGTTCCTGAAACTCTTCATCAAGTTGGAACAGGTAATTTTTAACTAATATGATGTATAAGTTCGTAGTTTTTCAATCAACTTCATTAAAAAAATTGAATAGATTCATATATATCATGGTTGACAGAATAGGTAAGTCGTGTCTCGATAAGTTTCTTCGTAAAAAAAAAATAGTTAATGAAACAATTAACATTATTCTTTCACTAGGATTCATTCAGTCGAAGTACTTAAAAACTTCAGATTAATAATAAAATTGTTGAGTGGTTTAAACTATTTCGATATATCAGAGTGAGGTTTTTCTAATCTTGAATTCTTTATGTTCAATTACAACTTAACTAATTAATTCACAATAATAAAATGTTAAATGGACTAATTAGGACTTAAATGTGATTGTATTTTACTTTAATTTGCACTTATTTGTTTCCATATTTAGTAAAGTCGATTTGACCCAACTTCTGTGAAGTCAAAAATATTTTCTTAAAGAAAGTTGATGTTTTTTAATCCCTTTTTTGTTTTTTAATTTAAATTATGTAATCTTAAAATTGAAGACAAAAAAAGCTTATGATTTAAATAATTATTTTTTTAATTTATTTTTATATTAAATGGGGATGCGTGGATATTTATTACTAACTATTTTAGATCGATTGTAAAAGTCAACAATTTGATTTTATAAGTCTATAAAGATCTTTTCTATTGGAGTCATCGTTTTCAAATTTTTGTAGTTCCTCACTTGCTAGACTTGTAGTCAAAAGTGTGGACAAGAAAAATGGTCCTATTGATTTGCTCATCAAATTTATATCGTCGAATTTTTATTTTTTTTATAATAATCATATTTTATAATATATTACTTTTCATACAGGAATTTGTCAACTAATTTAGTCCAATAGTAAAAGTCAACAATTTGATTCTACAAATCTATAAAGATCATTTCCATTGGAGTCTCCTCTTTATGGAAATAATAAATAGTACTTGCTCCATTTTGTTTTACATAATTTCTATATTAAAAATAAATATTTTTTTATCTGCAAATTAAAGAGTTTTTTTTTCTTCATATTGTTCTTAGTATCAAATAACTATATTAAATAGTAATAATTAATTTTATAGTTTATAATATTATTAATAAAATTAAAATATTTATAAATCGTGTGATAATTTAACAGAAGATGTTCGTTTTCAAAATGTGAACTAACAATATGAAAAGTTATATAGAAAAACGGTCATGTTGAGCTGCTGACCGAAACTGAACTCTTCATAAAAATTAAAACTTACATCATAGTCAAAATTGTACTATATTTTATACAAAATATTATTAGTCGTTTTACTAAATTCAATTCTTCGTATAAAACAATTAACGTTTTAAAAAAAAAATTAAGACGTCAAATCGTCAATTATTAAGTAGGGGTGATCGTGATTTGATTTGGATTATTTTTTTATTTAAATCAAATTAATATTAACTATTACTTTTAAACAAATAAAATAAAATAAGTATTAATTTACATCCATGAGTTTGGTTCAATAAGAAACATAACAGTGTTTCTCTACGTTATTTTTTTTCCTACAATAAAAACGGATTTTTTCAACTTATAATCTGTTATTAATCTTTTATTGTTGTGGCTATAAATTTTAATCAAGTGAATAAAATTGATAAAAATATATAATTAAAAAAAATAAAGATAAATCTTATAATTATTTTTTAAATAAATAAGTTTGGATTTATGACTTTCGTTTAAGATATGGGATTAAGATGTACTTAGTAGCCTATTAGAAAGAAATAAAATTTCATGAAAAAGTCTTTATAATTATTTATAAAAATTACACACACACACACACACATATATATAATTTGATTTAATTTGTTTGTTTTTAATAAAATCAAACTGAATAAAATATTATCTTTTTTAATATAAAATTTAAATAGACGTCTATAAAATTAGTAGTCAGTAGTCCCAGATAGTTTTATTATTAATATTATGCAAATATTTTCCTTGAAAATTTAAACAGCAATTTAATATATAGACAATGAGATCACCAAGTGATCGATGGCACTAGTACCTAGACAGATCACACCAATTTGTTTATTCACGTAACTTGAGAAATCCTAACTCGTAAATCGATGGATGTGGTGCACCGAATGAAGCTGCTTCTTTCTTATTTAGAGGTTTTAGATTCGAGTTTTAAGTATAAAAAAATTCTTCGTAGACAACAATACCTCATGAATAGGACCTTACGCTATATCAATTCAAAATAATCGAACTCTAATGTAAATACTAAACATCAAATGGAAAAAAAAATATCTTAACTTGTCATGCCATGAAAAGCTTCCTTCATATCAAATTAACTATTACTTTAGCTAAAAATATAGTTTCTCAAAATAATTATTATATTAGGAATTTGAATTGAAATTGATAAAAAAGACTTAATTATTTATACTTTCATATCAAAGATGTACTTAAAAATTTTACCGTGATTTCTAAAATTATTATATCAACTTATTTGTTATTTTAAAAGTGGAAGACATATTTTCTTTTTCATCCTCATTAGTAATGGTTCTTAAAAGACTATAGACACCTCAATTATATATAGTATATAAAAAATTAAATACTCAATAAAGAAATATTAGATCTTAAGACGTATACATTGCATTTAACGTTTTTTTTTAATAGAGTGAAAGTGACCATTAAATGGCTAGAAAGATGGATTTTTTTTTAAAAAAAATTATCTTTAAACCTCTGTTTGGCCAAATTATTATTTCAAAAACTCAAAATTTTAAATTTTAATTTCAAAATCTTTAATCAAATAAGAGCTTAAATCAAATTATGACAATATGTAGACATTGCTTGTACAAAATATTGCACACACTATTGTATTTTAAGATGTTGTAAAAAGTAATTTGTCTTATTATGAGAACATCACTTTTTATACACAATTGCTTACGTGATAAAATAACTTTGCACTTTTAGAGTGTCAGACTGTCAGTATACAGAAGTTAAACTTTCTTTTATCGTATCTAGCTATAATGTTTGTGTTTTGAAAAATGTAGATTCATGGTTTCAAGTGGGAGTTGTTTTGAGCACTGGTATCAACAGTGCCTATGCACTAGGATATGCTGGCACAATCATGGTTCCTCTTGGCTGGACTGGTGGTGTCATTGGTCTTGTTTTATCAACACTCATTTCATTATATGCAAGTACTCTTATGGCCAAGATTCATGAATATGGTGGAAAAAGACATATTAGATACAGAGATCTTGCAGGATTTATGTATGGTATGTACGATTGTTAATTTATGTGACAATATTTGACTGAACACGATATTTATTTAAAAAATCATGATAGAATACACACATAAAGTATTACTCCTTTCCCATAATAGATGAACATTTTGCAAAAAAAAATAATTGTCTCATATTACTTGATCACTTATTGGGATAGAGTTAATTATTTTTTTTCTATTTTATCCCTACAATCAATATGACCTTTGAAAGTTTAAACAAATTTTGAAGATCTAAAGTTTCTTTTTTCAAGAGGTAATTAATATGAACAAAGGGCAAAATAGTAAAGTTGATCAATCTATTAATGATTTCTTAATTAGAATGTAAAATAGAAAGCGTCCATCTAATATATATGAGACGGAGGGAGTATACGTTTTGTATGTTTTTGCGAGTTTCGTATTATAACTGTCAGTTGTTCATATTTTCTACGTGAACTATTAGTTGTACTATTAGTTGTTCCATTTTTCTACTTAAACGATAGTGATAGTCCAAGTAGGCAAAGGGAACAACTAATAATGCAGATGCGTTTTGATAAATAGTTAATTGGTACTACATAGTTTTGGTAGGAAAAGTGTTTTACCTTATAGTTCATATAGAGAACTCGTGAAAATGTGATACTTCAGTGTGTTTTTGATTATCAACTTTTAATAAATAAAGGAGAACTATTGAAATTTGTCATCTAAAATAAGTCATATATAATTGTGTGACTACGAATATACAAACCAAACCGTAAAACAGAGATTTGTTATTGAGGTTTTTACAAGATTTTAATTCCTTTGACTTGGTTAATGTTGCAGGTCGTACAGCTTATGTAATTGTATGGGCATCGCAGTATGCTAATCTTTTCTTGATAAATATTGGATTTATCATTTTAGGTGGACAGGCCTTAAAGGTATATGATACATTCCCCTGCCTTAAAGTGTCTATGTTGCTCGCACTCTTCAAAAATATTACTGCATCGAGTCAGTATTCAAAAAAATGTATAACTTTCGGAGAATCTGACATATGCAACACATCACATTTCGAAAGAGTGTGAGCAACATAGCCTAGCATCCAAGATCATAGTACGTTTGGTCTAGACCTCACGGATTTGTCCCTCAAGTTATGCCACATTGAGCCCAGAAGCGGGCGTACCATGTGAACTTATATTTGTCTTATTTGTCAACCTATAAGTCTGTTAGTCAAAAGTGTCATATGCACCAAAACTTATTCGTCTATAAGTTTGTCAGTCCTTCTCTTTGATCCACCCTCATCAGCCCGTCCTTCGTCATGTGCCTCACACATCCAGAAAATGTTATTTCTGAAACAACTTTTTTTTGTGTGTGTATAATTGGCAGGCTTTCTATCTTCTCTTTAAGGATGATCATCGGATGAAGCTAGCATATTTCATCGCGATTGCTGGATTAGCATGCGTGCTATTTGCCATTGCTGTTCCTACCTTGTCATCGTTACGAGTTTGGCTGGCGATTTCATCTGTATTCAGTCTAATTTATCTCACTATAGTCTTTGTGTTAGCTCTTAGAGATGGTATGCATACAATTACAAAATGTGACAGTTAATTATCTTCGCGTACGCGAAGAAGTAGTTGCATTAGATGTAAATAAAAAGAGTTTTTTTGTTGTTGTTGTGGTTGGTAAATTGCAGGTATCAATTCTCCTCCTAGAGACTATAGTATTCCGGGATCGAAAATAAACAGAGTTTTTACAACTGCTGGTGCAGCTGCAAATCTTATTTTTGTATTCAACACAGGAATGATTCCAGAGATCCAGGTATTAATGTTGTTACTGCTTATGTCTTCGTAAATGTTGTGTTTTTGTTTTCCTTGAGTCGAGGGTCTATCAGAGACAGTTTCTCTACCTGCTTAGGTAGGAGTAAGGTCTATGTACACTCTACCCTCCCGAGACCCCACGTGTGGGACTATACCAAGTATATTGTTGTTGATGAACTCAGCTCTATATCAAAATTGAAGTATATTTCGACTATGACCTCTGCTTGAAGTACTTTACACGACAAATAGTTTTCTTGTGATTTTATTTGATTATGATGAATTTCGTTAAATCTTTCAGGCAACTGTGAGAGCACCTGTTGTGGACAACATGTTGAAAGCCCTGTATTTTCAGTTTAGTTTAGGATCTGTGCCTGTTCATGCTGTTACTTATGTCGGATACTGGGCGTATGGATCCAGTTCAACGTCCTATTTGCTCAACAATGTCAGCGGTCCAGTTTGGGTTAAGGCACTCGCCAACATTACTGCATTCTTGCAAGCCATCATAGCTTTACATGTATTAGTCTTTTCGCTTTGCTGTGATCATATAGTATTGAGTTTAACTTCTATATACTGACAGTATATGATCGCTCTGTCGTCATGTTGCATTGCCTTGTTTTTGTTCATTGTAGATATTTGCAAGTCCAACGTATGAGTACTTGGATACCAAATACGTGATTAAAGGAAGTGCACTTGCTATTCGGAACCTGGCATTCAGAGCTCTAGTCAGAGGAGGTTATCTCGCGCTTACTACTTTCCTATCTGCTCTATTACCTTTCTTGGGAGATTTCATGAGCCTTTCTGGTGCTATCAGCGCGATTCCACTCACGTTTATTCTTCCTAACCACATGTATATAATTGCCATGAAAAATAATCTGTCTTCACTACAAAAGAGTTGGCATTTGCTCAACGTTATCTTTTTCAGTGTCGTAGCTGCTGCTGCCTTAGTAGCTGCTTTCAGGCTTATAGCAGTGGACTCGAAAACTTACCACACGTTTGCTGATTTGTAACTTCCTGTGTAATAATATCAAGGGGAATGTCCCTCGTCTAATTCATCTAACGTTCTCAATTCCAGGCCTCAGAGAGGTATATGTATGTCTGTATATTGGATGAATGATATCATCAAATCAAACCGATTCATATTGAAGTCAGATATTTTGTTAAGGACGTTGAAGGATACTTTCAAGGTTATAGTATGTATGAATGAAAAGTAACATTTGACCTATACACTTTTCGTTGCATCATTTTCCGATGAAGAGTGTTCAAACTAACCACCCTTGGGCATACATAGCTATGCCCTTGTACTCGGTCATAACCTATATCTTCATAATATATTGCTTGTGCCATTTTTCCACTACAATATGTTGTCAATATAATGGAGTTTAGTAAATTGACTTCATCGAAAACAACATCTCTATCTCTCAAGGTAAGGACAAGGTCTACCCTCCCCAGACAGACCCCAATTCGTGTCCCACGAACCCCATGTGTTGCACCTAGAGTCCTTTATGCAAACTCAAAAAAAGTTATCTTCTCATCTCAACATCTTCTTTTGCTTCTTGTAGTACTAAAAAAAAGATGTAATTCTAATGTAACCTGCAAGTACAGATTAGTGGATATGAATGCATAAACCATCGTGTACTTCCTTCGTTTCAATTTATGTGACAGTTTTATAACTCGACAAAGAATTTAAGAATAACAGAGAAATAAGGGCAAATTGGTGTGATTAGAAGTGAGCGTTTGGTATTTGGTTTGATTTTTCAAAGTCTGTTTCTGTAATCGGTAGCTGAAAGTAGATATCAAATATCAATAAATCAAATTCTGATATGATAAATCAAACTTTGATTCGATAATTAGATATAGAAGGAAAAAATATTTTGACAAGTATATTTTTAATTTATCCAATATTTGACATGTTAGCTTTTAGAGAAATCATGTATTATATATTAGATCACTCTCAAGTTCTAACTTTATGAATTTGTCGGTATAGGTCAATCAAGATATATATATGGTAAGCAATACATCAATGATGGATGATGTTCGATTTGATATTTTTAAAGTTTAGTTTCATTAATTAGGTAATTAAAAGTAAGTACAATTTGAACTGTTACGATACATCCTAATTTGGTAATTCATTTTTTGATTATTTATCGGTCACGCTTAGGTGTGACATCAACTTATTTACAATGATTCTTTTCATCATTTATATAATAACAAATTTAATAATATAGTAAGTTTTAAAAAATAAAATAAAATAATTTCAATTGATGTCCACTATTCACATCGAGGCCTGTTTAATTCAGATTTACCTCAGATAAGACTTATTTTAAAAGAAAAAAATTAATAAAAAATAATTTTATTTTCCAAACTCGAAACTAAAATATTTAAATTGTCACATCAAAGATGTTAGGTAACCAAAAAAAACTGTTGATGATCCATTAAATAACAAAGAATGTTGTACATGATATTTATGTTGCCAGCCGCCCAACCGCAATCAATTAAAAATAGAAGCAACCTTATTGACTTTCGCTTTTTCTCTCTCTAAAAATTGTTTAGTTTTTAACAATAATAAAATTATTATAAATATTTACAAGAATAAAAATTATACTATACAAACTTTTTTATGAATCAAAATTTAGTTTACTTATTTATTACGTAAATTTTAGTGGATACAATAATTCAAATGAATATGATAAATCAAATCCCTTCTAATTTATTTTTTACTTTAGGCCATCAAAATGCTTTAATCACCCCTCCAATCATGTAACTTCTCTTTTTTCAAGTTCCATAATTTCCCGATATTATATCAACTGTAAAGGAATCTACAAACGTAAGCAACAACTGAAAAAAAAAAAGTAATAGACAACTAGACACTAGACGAAGTCAGATAAAATTGAGGAATTCATTCAAAAAAAAAAAAGTTAATAAAAAATTCCCATTTTTTTTTTATATATAACTAAAACTATTTTTAATCTGAATTATTCGTAAAAATTCTAGCTCTGCCGAGACTAATATATAACCAACATTCCAACAATCACAATTACCCATCACTGTGCAGTCATATCAGGGAGGAAGCAAGTGGGATTACAATGGCAAATAAATCTGCAACTACAAATAGGAAACACCCATATCCATTTCACTATAATTGAATTCACAGAGGAAGAAGGAGGAGGAGGGGAAGCCATAGCTGAAAGAGGCTGTAGATTTGAGCTTATTTTGTTTTTGCTGTTTAGCCCTTTTTTATTTCGATGGCAACGACGTCGTTTGATCATCCCCTTCTACCAAATGTGCACAATGATGAAGAATATCCTAATTCTGCACACCAAGTTAGTAATGGTCTCTTTCTTTTACAAAATACTCTTTTGGGTTTTTGAATTTATGCTAGATTATGTTCATAAATGTATGATTGTCATGGCTATTGTAGAAAAGTAAGGGATATTTTGGTACGCGGACTAAATTATTATTATTATTATTATAATTCTGGAACTATACTCCATAATTGATGTACTAATTTTTGTGGAGATGTGTTGAAGTGTGTGAAGAGGTTGATGTTTTGATTAGACCCCCAATGATGTAAATGAGCAAGCTAGATTAGTGTCTTCTTTTCTGCACAACACTCTCATTTTTCTGTGAGGTTAATTTCAAATGCACCTTTTTGTATGACAAGTCTTGTGATTAGAGGCGGAGCGAGGATTTTCAATTTATAGTCTCTGAATCAGAATATTTTTTGCATCATTGGTTCTAGATATATTAGTTATACATATTGAAATACAGACCTTGAGCCAAAGCTAATGAGTTCAACCCCAGTAAATTAAATGGCGTGTGGTAGAATCCCGAACTTGAGTCATAAAGTTCAAATCTTGATTCCACCTTTGCATCTCTTGATAACATTTCCATTCACTTTTATTCAATTAAACTGCAAAGCAAGTGAATAAACCTGTACAATTCATAGACATGGTGTAGTACCTACTAGTTGCATAGATGTAATGTTTTCATTCCCCATGTGATTAATGTACTAGAATTGAGTTACCAAATATGAGGTAAAATAAGATTTTTGATTTCGTCAGCAAAATTTCGAAAAGTGTCTTACTTTTGTTATCTTCAATCCCATTAAGATGTATATGAGCAGAAGAACAAAGTGTAAGAAAATTACAATATGATATCTGCAAATTATGATTCATGCCATAAATTGTCTGCTGATTTATAGTAAATTGTGCTCATCTCACCTGTTGTGCAAGCCGCAGATTCATGGTTTCAGGTGGGAGTTGTTTTGAGCACTGGTATCAACAGTGCCTTTGCTCTCGGATATGCTGGCCTAATTATGGTTCCTCTAGGTTGGGTTGGTGGTGTGGTTGGTTTGATTTTATCATCAGCTATATCACTTTATGCTAGTACTCTTATGGCTAAGCTCCATGAATATGGGGGAAGGAGGCATATCAGATATAGAGACCTTGCGGGATTCATGTATGGTATGTGTTGCTGAAAACTTATCAAATACATAGTGAAGCTTCTTACGCTTCTTTTGTGATTTATATGGTTTTGATTCCATTGGTTTAGCTGAATGAGATTTTGTCTGCTACAGGACAGACAGCCTATTCACTTGTCTGGGTATCGCAGTTCGCAAATCTTTTCTTGATAAATACTGGATATGTCATTTTGGGTGGACAAGCATTAAAGGTAATAGTTATATGCATTAGTCCTTGGATTTGATATCCAAGCAGAATTGTACATATGAATACGATTCCATTCAGATTTTTTTTGTTTTCTGATGGGATGATTCCAACAACTTGATCGCAGGCTTTCTATGTTCTCTTTAGGGATGACCATCAAATGAAATTGCCACACTTCATTGCAGTGGCTGGGTTCGCGTGTGTCCTTTTTGCCATTGCTATACCCCATTTGTCAGCTTTAAGGATTTGGCTGGGGTTTTCAACATTCTTCAGTCTAGTGTATATTTGTATAGTGATTGCTTTGTCCCTTAAAGACGGTGAGTCAAACACAAATTTAAATTTTCAATGTATGCATACTGTTAATCTAACTGATGGAACTTTCTGGTAATTATTCCTTCCTGCTGTACATTATTGTTGAAAAGTAAAGTTGATCGCATCTTAATGTATGAGTGTGTGGTTTGCCTGCTAGGTTCTCCCAATCCTCCTGTTTGGAGACTGATGAAAAATTTATTCTTGCTCCTTATTTTGGGTGTTGAGGGGTAGGGGTATCCTGGCACCATTCGTCACGCAATATTACATTGTCTCTGATTATGCTTCTTTTAACATTTTGTCCGAAATGTTAGTCCTCTTACACATAGTACCAGGGCTTGTTTTATAAAGTAAACAACCTGTCTACATGAAAATCATATTTGTCTGGAACTGAAAGCATAGCCTTGCACCCGCAGATTTTGCTTCCTCAAAGAGGAATGCCGTCTTGGTTCATCCTTTCTGAATATCCTGAATTTCAGGTCTTGAGGCACCTCCTAGAGACTACAGCATTCCAGGAACCAAAAACACTAAGATTTGGGCAACAATTGGTGCTGCTGCTAACCTTGTTTTTGCGTATAACACAGGAATGCTGCCCGAGTTACAGGTAACCAACCTAGAAATTGATAGGCTTTATTTATGCATATAATCTTTTGCTCAGCAAGCCTGACTTATAGTGAAGTCGAAGTATCGAATTATGTGACATGAGTTGATAATTGAAATTTGGTATGATACGTTATTATAGTTGCGCCATTTTAGGTGATCTTTTGTTACCATTGTACCTTTCTTTTGAATTTTAGATTTTTTTCTATTCATTACGTCCTTTGGAGTGAAAGAAATTACTTAATTAGCTATCATGGTTGATGTTATTTCATTGAGAAAGCAACGGTCTACTTCTAATCTTACTGATCCGCTCTAAAGGTCTATCTCCTTAACTTACTGATTGGCGTCAAGTTTGATGTAAAGACTTGATCGAACATTACAGTGAAGGATGTCTTTTAACATAAATGAACAATAGACCTATTTTCTGGAGGGAAGTGTCCCCTTTGATTCTTGAATCTAAACTTAGTGCAACATTTAACTAAAGAGACTCCTTTAATTATGAATGAAGGATGACAATTATATTTCTGTATAGCACTGTAAAGTTTTATCACCATTTCCTAACATACATATACTTTTGTTCGTATTCTCCATTGTTTTTAATTCTCACAATCTCGTGTCTTTCATGTAGGCTACTGTGAGAGAACCAGTTGTCAATAACATGATAAAAGCCCTTAACTTTCAGTTCACTTTAGGAGTTATTCCAATGCATGCTGTTACGTACATTGGATATTGGGCTTATGGATCAAGTGCATCTTCCTATTTGCTGAACAATGTTAGTGGTCCAATTTGGTTGAAGGGAATGGCTAACATTGCTGCTTTCTTGCAAGCTATCATCGCGTTGCATGTAATTATCACCCTGCTCCGATCTTATAGTCTTTATACAGCTATTTTCATGTTACATTATTCAAACAAGAAAAAGGCTTACCCATACCTGGTATTTACACCAACACAATTACACAATAGATTCACTAACATGTGTCTTTATATATAGATATGTTATCAGTTAACTAATACCGATTCTCACCTCATCTTCTATTACTACTAACCATGGTAAAAAAAGAAATGTAGTTTGGTGTAAACACCAGGTGTCGATAAGTTTTTTCCTTCAATTGGAGCAATGGTAAAGTTGTCTCCGTTTGACCTATAGGTCACCAGTTCAAGCCATGGACTTTGGTGTTTACACCAGGTGCCGGTAAGTTTTTTCCTTCAAACAGTTCTAGATAAGAAGGCAAGCCTTGGAGCAACGGTAAAGTTGTCTCTGTCTGACCTATAGGTCACTGGTTCAAGCCATGGGATCAACCACTTATGCTTGTGTCAAGATAGTCTGCCTACATCATACCCTTTTGTGGCACGACCCTTCCCTGAACCCTGCATGAACATGGGATGCTTTGTGCACTGGATTGCACTTGTTTAGTCCCTCTATAATGTCTCTAATTTGCTTCTATTTATGATCCTAGATATTTGCGAGTCCGACTTACGAGTTCTTGGATACCAAGTATGGAGTTAAAGGAAGTGCACTGGCTTGTAAAAACTTGGCCTTCAGAATCATTGTTAGAGGTGGTTATATAGCCATTACAGCTTTCCTGTCTGCTCTTTTGCCTTTTTTGGGAGACTTCATGAACCTTACTGGGGCTATCAGTACATTTCCACTCACATTTATACTTCCAAATCACATGTACATTGTTGCTAAGAGAAGAAAGTTGTCATTTTTAAAGAAGAGTTGGCATTGGCTCAATATTATTTTCTTTAGTTGCATAGCAGTTGCTGCATTTGTAGCTGCATTGAGGTTCATCACAGTAGATTCCAAAACATACCATGTATTTGCTGACTTATAATTTTATTTTTTCACTATTTGAGTGATAATTTACCCATCTTTTGGGGGGTCATTTATATGTAAATGTTAAATTATTCAGTTGTAATAAAGTGTGTTCTTGATTTTTTTTACTCAGACAAAGGTGTACAAATATGTATATATTGATATGTGAAATAGCATTTGACTACTATTGAGTATTGTGATTTCTCCCTGTATTGTGTTTTAAGTACAAGCTTTAAGCCTCATGCCTTGATTCCATTGAGTAATTGCAGTGAAATTCACGGTGCACAAAACATCTTGTATTTATGCATACAAATAAAAACTGACTTTGTATTGTGTTTAAATATTTAGTTTGAACAGACAAGTAAAATTTACTACTAATAAGTTTAGGGAATGGTTGATATATTTTGATTTACATCACACAACCATTCTAAGAAATTTGGATCTTCACACAAATAATCTATCGAATTCACTATTATTTTTTTTAGTCGGTTCATAAATTATGCTTGATGATACATAATTATATATGTATTATACACATTATCAATTCACAAATTCTTAATATAAGCGGTTGGATGGACGAGTTCTTCTTAAAAAGGGTATTTAATTGCACGATTTGTCCTTTAAATAGGTTGATTGATAATTTTTGTCTTTAGAACTCGAACTTATACCTATCAGACATAAATTCTTTAAAGATGCAAATCGTAACTTGTGGGATCTTATGATATGAAATATAAATTCGTATCCTGTAAAAAAGATATTTCTAGACATAAATTCTTTAAATTCGCAAATCATAACTTGTGGGATATTATGATATGAAATATAAATTCGTATCCTGTAAAAAAGATATTTCTCCGGAGCGACAAAAGTGCAAATGAGTTAGATTCCTCCTTCTTCTCAATCCGGCCCAAAAACAGTCAAGCCCAATGAATTAAACAGCTGGGCCTCAAGCCCATCTCTTATTCGCTAAATATAAATTTCTCTCTTATCCCTCACCAATTAGGGTTTTAGGCTTCTCCATTAGAAGGGATTTTCTTCAGTTTGCAGCTTCAAAGTTGAAAATGGTGAAGGGACGCCAAGGAGAGCGTGTGAGGTATTGAATCATCTTCACTTACAATTCCATTTTCTTAAAATTCGCTTATAGAATCACATTTTTACTACTTTTTTGCCTTTTTATTCATCCAGACTCTATACCAGAGGAACGGTTCTCGGATACAAGAGGTAACGTATCTAATTTACTGTAATCATCTAATTTTAAACTGAAATATTGAGTTTGCAGCTGATTGATTGATGGAATGTTGATTTGTGAATTAGGTCGAAGTCGAATCAGTATCCGAATACTTCATTGGTTCAGATCGAGGGAGTGAACACTCAGGAGGAAGTAGATTGGTACTTAGGGAAACGTATGGCTTATGTATACAAGGCGAAAACAAAGAAGAATAACTCACATTATCGCTGTATTTGGGGAAAAGTTTGTAGGCCTCATGGAAACAGTGGTATTGTTAGAGCTAAGTTCAAGTCCAATTTGCCACCAAAGTCCATGGTACATTACGACTACTATTATTTATAATTGAATTTATTTGCTTATGAGGAAGAGTATATATATGCTGATTTTGTATTTATTATTGTGTTTCACTTTTGCAGGGAGCTAAAGTTAGAGTTTTCATGTACCCAAGCAACATATAAGGTACTATATTTTATTTAATTTTTTGATATGTTGACCAAAAAAAATTGTTTCTTGATATGTTATGGTCTATACTCTATAGTGATTAATGTGTTATGTTGGGTAGAAGGTTAGTCCGTAATCGAGTGATTTGACCTTTCTCAGAGTATTAGTTTTAGTTGGTGTAGTTATTAAGTAATATTTTTCTACATTTGCTTAAATTGTCCTGCTATAGGACATAGATTGATGAATAAAGGATCGAGTTTGTGGTGATGGAAGAACTGTTTTATAATTGGTTTAATTATTTGTGAAGTTGCATCCTTTAGGATTGCCTCTTACCATAAGATCCTCGGAAAAATATATTGTATTAAAACAATATGTTTCGTACCTTTTAAATTGTAGTTCATTTATTAACACACCTAGTAAACCCCATGAAGCCTCAAATTCTAACCGTTAGCCTATTTACTCGGTGTGTGTGGTACTAAACTACAGATAACACTCATGCTATGCCAAACATTTACCGCGCTTCTCTTTTTTCTCCTTGCAAGTTGCACCTATAAAGTGCATGAACAGAAGATGGCTTGATCCTTCTTGTGTTCCTTTGGAATAATCTCCTATTCTTTCGTTCCACATTAACCAAAAATTACACAGAGGCTCATCATTGTAGCGTCTTTTTGTAGCCTTTTAATCAAACATCGAATACCTCTGTTTACCTGTGTCCATTCAGAAATTATGAGAAATCAGGATGCAAGACATAGAAAGATGGTTATCTTTGCTGTTTCAGATTAACTATAGGGTTTTTAATGTCATACGTTTCAACAAAATATTGTACAGACTTCCACCCCCTCACGTAGCACACAAGAAAATATGCGCAGAAGCTTTAAGCAGATAATCACCTGTGAATATTCTGTCTGGACAGTGTGGAAAAGGGATGGAAGGTGTTCTAGAGCTGTTTTTGAATTGCTATCATTGTAGATTTAATATGACATTGAAATTGCTTTCACCATTATCTTGCTACCGTATGTAGTATTTAACCTGTGCACTGGAAAATTGTTTTTGGAGATGGATTTTCCTCCTACCCTTTATAGCGATAATGAAGCTATGATTATCAGATATCCTAAATGTTTCAAAATGTCCTGCTATTGCCACGTGACGTTTCTGTAGAATCAGACTGTTAACATGATGTTACACTGTTGTGATTGCTATTTACAATTCTTTCCTGTATTCCTACCCATTGACACTCTTTTTCGAAGTTAACTGATTGTGTATACTTACTCTTGCAGCAAGGTACTAAGTCGATGCATGCTTGGACGCCCTACATTTGTCTATCATTAGTTATGAAGGATTTGAATCTTTAATAGTAGTTGGACATAACTTGTTTTGGGCTATGTGGAGTTACATTTTTAGTCTATTTGTTTATCATGTACTGGGAAACACCAATGAGTGAAACATCTGATTAGATGTCGTCTAATTTTGTTCTTGGAGTTTCTACATACAATCATTTAGTTCTCTTTGCTCTTAAAATCTTGATATTTCCAGTTCTTAATTTGCCTTTTTGCAGAATTGTTTCCTCGGTTTAATTGTGTTGTGGTTTCGTTAGTTCCAGAACGTTTTAAAAGAGTTTTCAGTGCAATAATTGTTCCAAAACATTCCAAGTCTCTTAAGAGGTTCATCAGGAGCTAACTTAACATACATGATGTATGACCTGTTACACAATTAGCTATTTCATGCTTCAAACACCTAGAATTTATTTTGCCTTTCTCTACTATATTCATTTTTCATTCTTGTTTTATGATGTTTTACTTTAGTCGGGTATCTAGCAAAAACAATGAGTTTTTGGCTAGAATCATCCTTAAACTATGACTCAAATATAATGTACATTTTTATATTATTTAAGTGAACAAAAAAACATCCTTGTACTATCCAAAAAATAACAAGAATCATCCTTCAATCTATTTTTATTAAGAAACTGATTGAGCCAATAAAAAAAATATACTTTTTAATTTGTTCATCATTCTTAGCCCACGACAAGATGATCTAAGTTACCTAAGAAAAAATAAGCATATGGATAGGAAATGAATCTTTCAATTCTCAAAATTTAAATTTTATGTGTTGTTAGTTTATATGTTTTTGTATCATCAAGTAAATTGACTTGCAACGGTACATAAGTCGTGAAATATTTATACAGTAGATTCCGATGATTAGAAAGATTATGTAAAAAATTCATTTTACAATGCAATTCACATTTTAAACAATGTACAGAAATGTTGAAAATTTAGTGAAAGTACGTAGCCGTTTAGTTATTAAAAAAAATACTTTATTTGAAAATTTTAAAGCTGGAGTTGTATTTGACCATACTTTTTACAAAGAATATTTAAAATTTGAATATGATTTAAATCCTCAATTTCTAAAAATTAAAAAAATCATCCAACTTGACCATCTTAACCATGTGGTACATATATTCATTCGACTTGACACATTTTTTTATTGGTGGCGTGAGTTTCATAACAAAAGCAGACTGAAGGATGATTCTTGTTATTTTTTAGATAGTAGAAGGATATTTTTTGCTCACTTAAATAATATAAGGATGTACATTAGATTTGAGTCAAAATTGAGGGATGATTTTAACCAAAAACTCCAAAAACAACCTTTATACCTTTTCAATGTAAGGATAAGGCCTTCGTATGCACACAATCCTCCACATATCCCATTTGTGTTGAATCAAACTGGCTATGTTTTCTTTGCTTGAAAAGCCATATGATTAGAACGAGTCCAAAGCCAAAAGGGCAAAATTTCAAAAAGGCAACAAAAAAAAAGGTTCAAACCAAAAGGGCAACACACCTTCCGTCCAAATGTTGCCTTTTTAGTTTGAACCTTTTTTTTTTGTTGCCCTTTTGAAAATTTTGCTCAATTTTTTTGCCTTTTTTGCCTCGAACTCTCACTAGAACCATGTTTCTTCTTTGAAGAAACGGTAAGGGAGACAGTAACTGCGAATTCTATTACTTTATAGTGGAGTAGACGTAAAAAAGCATTCAACAAATCTGAAATAACATATTTGTTATGAAAGTTGCATATGATTAAGTAACTAGGGAAAGATATAAACTTTAGTGCTTCAAAACTTTACTACATGATACACAATTAGATGTGCATTTGACACCATCAAGAAATAACTCAATATTAAAAAGTAAAAAAACGGTGCTTTGAATAGGTTGAGTTTGTAAAAAAATTATCCTTGATTGACACATGTATCAACTCACATTCCACAGGTAAATTATGTATTCTGCATGAAAACTAGGATCATTATACGACTAATCGATTGAATTCAACGTTTACTTTTTCTTTATGATATATAGTACTTCTTTCGTTTCTATTTGTTTGTTTGGGTTTTAAACTAACAAAAGACCTGACCTCCTTCTTCTCAAGTCGGCCCAAATTAGTCAAGCCCAAAAAATTATATAACTGGGCCACAAGCCCATTCCTCATTCGCTAAATACCAGCAGTCTAGGGTTTTAGTCTTCTTCTTCAGTTTACAGCTCCAGAGGCGAAAATGGTGAAGGGACGCCAAGGAGAGCGTGTAAGGTACTGAATCATCTTCATTTACAATCTCATTTTCATAAAATTTACTTATGAAATCACATTTTCACTACTTTTTTGCTTCTTTCTTCATCCAGACTCTACACTAGAGGAACAGTCCTTGGATACAAGAGGTAGCGTAACTTATTTATCGTCATTATCTAATTTTAAACTGAAGTGTTTCTGAATAGAGATGAACGAATATAAGGAAATTGAATTTGCAAGCTGATTGATTGAATCTGAATTTGTGTATTAGGTCGAAGTCGAATCAGTATCCAAACACTTCATTGGTGCAGATCGAGGGAGTGAACACTAAGGAAGAAGTAGATTGGTACTTGGGGAAGCGTATGGCTTATGTATACAAGGCGAAAACAAAGAAGAATAACTCGCATTACCGCTGCATTTGGGGTAAAGTTTGTAGGCCTCATGGTAACAGTGGTGTCGTTAGAGCTAAATTCAAGTCCAATCTGCCACCAAAATCCATGGTACATTTCGATTACGATAAACACTTGACTAATTGAATTTTGTTTGTTTGGTAATGTGTAAGGACGGATATTATATGGTGTATTTGTATAGGAAAGTTTGTGAATTTATTTATTATCTTCCATTTTTGCAGGGAGCTAAGGTTAGAGTTTTCATGTACCCAAGCAATATATAAAGGTACTGTATTTTAGTTTAAATTTTTTTGTATGCTATGGTCTAAGATACTGTATTTTAGTTTAAATTTTTTTGTATGCTACGGTCTATAGTTGTTAATTGGTTGCATGGATTGCACTGCTTATATGACTTAGATTAATGAATAAGGGATTATTAGTTTGTGGTGATGGTGAAATAATGGTTTTATAATTGGTTGAAGTATTTGTAAGAGTTGCATACTTTTGAATTGACTCTTACCATAAGATGCTTGTTCAATGGGTTGTTTGTTATGAGGAAATAGGGATAATATTCTCGTTTTTTATAGTGCGTGGTTAGGTTAGGGGTATTAGTTAGTCCCGTGAGTATTTATCCCACCAGCTATACTACAATGATTGGATAAACTAGGCCGGGTATTAACACTATGTCTTTTCTTGCCTGATAAATTGGAAGTTCATTAATTGCCATACCTAGCTGTTGTGAGTGATTTTCTCTAAGTCTGAGAGGTACTCAACTACCTTTAACATTCATGATATGCCAATTATCTAGTATACCGCCCCTTTTTATCCTTGCTCACAAAAAGTGAATGAAAGAAAGGATTGTTTTGTCTTTCGTTCCTGTGTGGAATAATTGCCTATTCTTTCATTCTATATTAGCAAACCAATAAATACAAAGGGGCTTATCACTGTAGTGTCTTTTTGTAGGCTTTTGAATAAACATTGTTCAGCTCTGTTTTCTAGTGTCTGTTCAAAAGTTATGAAAAAACTAGGACCCACAACACCTGAAAGGATGGTAATTAGCTATAGGGTCTTTATTGACATTAGTTCCAACAAAAAATAGTACCTACTTCCATCCCTTCAAGTAAGCACTTCTCTTGAAAATCTACACGGAAGTATTTAGCAGATAGCTGAATGTGATTCTCTGCTTGGACAGTGTGGAAAGGGAAGGTGTTTTAAACAAAGCTATTTTTGACTTGTTATCATAATAGATATAGTATGATGTTGAAATTGCTCTTGCCATCATCTTGTTACCACATGTAATGTTTAACCTGAGAAACTGGAAAATTAGTATCTTCTGATGGATTTTATCAGATGATCTTTCCGGTTCAAAATGTTCGGCTATTGCCATATCACTGTTCTGTAGAATCAGCCCGTTGTTACCTTGATGTTGTGCTTTTGTATCTGCTGACACTATTTGAAGGTAGTACTGATTGTGCATTTTTGTTGTTGCAGCAAGGTATTTAGTTGATGCTTGCTTGGAGGCCCTACATTTATCTATCGAGGTCATTAGTGGTGAAGGTTTTGAATCTTTTAAAATACAGTTGACATAAATTGTTTTGAGCTGCGTGGAGTTACATTTTTTGGTATTTTTGTTTATCATGTACTCTGAAATACCAACGTTTGAACATCTTATTAGATGTCTAATTTTATTCTTGGAGTTTCATTTTGTTCTTTTTGCTCTTAAATCTTTGACGACTTTGATATGAACCAACTATCTCGCAACTCATATGCCTGGTAATACTTCTGTTGTATCTCACAAATCATATGCCTGGTGGCTGGTAATACTTCTGTAATTATTCCAACACATCCGAAGTACACAGCTATTTTTTACCAAATGCGTTTGATAAGCCAAAAGGGTGCATCTGTTTTAAGTTCCAATCTGAATTGCAGCTGGACCCACGCCTAAGAACAACACTTAGATATGCATTTTGTGCTCATGGTGATGGTGATGTTGTGTTGTCTATAGGTTTTTTTTGCCAGGACTAGTTTACCATGTTAATTCTTTTTTCCTTTGATCTGAGTGTCTATTGGAAACAGTTTCTCTACCTCCTAATGTTAGGTTTACATACATTCTATTTGAATAAGTTTCAATCTGGATTGCAGCTGGACTGGTGGGGCCTAAGAACGACACTTAGATATGCATTTTGTGCTCATGGTGATGTTGTGTTGTCGGTAGTTTTTTTACCAAAACTTCTTTTACCATGTTAATTCTTCTTTTCCTTTGAGCCGATGGTCTGTTGGAAACAGTCTCTATACCTCCCAACATGGGAATAAGATTTGCTTACATTTTATCCTCGCAGACACTTGTGAGGTGAATATACTGGTGGTGTTGTGCATACATAGATGAAATGGAGATTGACGGTTGGTGTACTTGTATGTACATTTATAGGCAATGCTACTTTTGCAACGTTAGCATCTGTTTTATTATCTATACAAAAAGTAAGGAGGCAACAATAGAAGTACCAGTTGTCTATTTACTACTAAAAATAAGAATGTGCAAGGGCTATTAGCTAGAAGAATTGTTAAGAAAATTGACTA